CCGGGGGGGAAAAGGGCCGCGTGGGCCCGGCTTCTGCGCCCCAGCCCTCGCGGCGCTCCTTGGAGCCCCAGAGTGTCGATGTGTCGTTAGCCTCCTATCATTAGTATTGACTTGTCGCCATTTATTATAATATACATCGCGCGTTGTGGCTTATTTCGTTTGGAATTTACTCTGGGATTTAGCCCTCTCTGGCTAACATGATTGTATCCCTATTTGGGGATCTCCAGCTCCACACAGGGGCTTTCTCTTCCTTTCCCCCGTTATCCGGGTGGTTCTCGCATCTCAGCCTGTCTATAGCCAGGGAGGTCGTGAGCACTCACCCGGGCCCTTGTTTGGCTGGGAAGGAGCCCAGGAGTTCGCATTTTACTAAGCATCTGGGGTATCCAGAATCCACTCTTCCTCCCTTGGGAAAGAAACCTGGCTGGTGCAGCGGGGTATCAGTGCTCCAAGGTCCAGGGAGACCTTGGCAAGCTGCCCCACCTCTCAGAGCCCCCGTTTACACAGCAGGAAGCAGAACTCTCTCCCCAGCCCCAGCCCCAGCCCTCTGCCCTCGGCAGGGCGTGGGTCCCTCCCCAGGGGCCTGGCAGGGAGGTTGGGAGGCTCCAGGAAAGGAAAGGAAATTGGTGTGGTCAGGCGCCCAGGGCCAGGCTCTCATGACCACTCAGTCTTAACCAAGGACCCAGAACCACCAGTCCAGCATCCAAGTCCCTTCTCTTTTCAGGACCCCAAGTCCCCCCTCCTCCCTCACCGGCTTCCCAGCTCTGCTTGAAATCACTTCAAATTCTAGTCCCTGCATTCCCAGTCCTTTGAGATTGCTTTCTTTCTTTCTTGTGAAGAAGAAAGGAGGAGGAGGAAGAGAAAAAGAAAAGAAGAAGACAGGGTCTTGCTATGTTGCCCAGGCTGGTCGTGAACTCCCGGGCTCCAGTGATCCTCCCGCCTCCACCTACCCTAAGTGTTGGGATTGCAGGCATGAGCAACATGCCCACCCAGCTGAGATTGCTTTCTTTTAAACCTTTAGCTTCCTGATGGACCCAGAGCCCTAGCAGGTCTAAGACCTTCAATACACACCCACAGAGGGACAGCCACTGCTCTTCCCAAGGGCGGGGCAGGCGGGTGCCCAGAAAGGCCCCAGAGAGCGCCCTCCCTGCTCCCACTCTAGACGGCTCGTCTCTCTTGCCGGGACTTCAGCTTTCCCTTGAGTGCAAAGGCGGTAACGTCGGAGCATTGGAGGGAGAGGCAAAGATGGGAGAGGTCAATGTGGATTCTAGAAGCCACCTGGAGGTGGAATCCACATCCTTTTCACCTGGGGCTCTTGGCCTGGGTTTGGCTTCGGGCCAGGTTGGACTCGCGAGAACTGAACCAACGCCTGGACCATGGCTCTTAGCAATTCCCCTGCTCCCCAACTTCGCTCAGCCCTGGAACTAGAGGAAGGGTTGGTTTAGCAGGCAGAGCCGCAAAGGAAGAGCCTCAAAGCTCTTTGAGATTGAGCTCCAGCAGGAATTGGGGCTTAAATGCCAGTATTCAAGCTTCTGGCTGGTCTAGGGGCAGCATTTGGGCTGGGGAGGTTGAGGACAGACTCAGAATTGGCCAGACTTCAGTTAGAATCCTGGTTTCAAGCCGGGCTCGGTGGCTCAGCCTGTAATCCTGTGCCTTTGGAAGGCTGAGGTGAGTGGATTGCCTGAGCCTGCGGGTTCCAGACCCGCCTGGGCAGCGAGACCTCATCTCTACAATAAATCAAAAAATCAGCCGGGCGTGGTAGTGCGTGCCTGTAATTCCGGCTACTCGGAAGGCTGAGGCGGAAGGATCGCCGGAGCCCAGCAGGTCGAGGCTGCGGTGGCCGGGAGCGGCCACTGCATACACTCCAGTCTGGGTGACAGAGTGAGACTCCAACTCAAAAAATAAATAAATAAATAAATAAAAATAAAATAAAATGTTGATACTGTGTCCATCATGAAATTTGGTTGTTTGTTTTGAGTTGGGGGTCTCAATCTGTTGCTCAGGATGGAGTGCAGTGATGGCATGATCATGGCAACCTCTACCTCCCTGGCTCAGGTGATCCTTCTGCCTCCCAACAGAGGCGCGCCACCATGCTCCGCTAGTTATTATTGTTATTTTTTCCATAGAGATCAGGTCTCACCATGTTGCCCAGGCTGGTCTCAAACTTCTGGGCTCAAGCAATCCTCCTGTCTCGGCCTCCCAAAGTGCTGGGATGACAGGTGTGAGCCATCACACCCAGCCTCATCATGAATGTTTACATTTTGATTTTAAAATGTTGTTTCAAAATATCATTTGTCTTGGCTACTGAGTTTTTTGGCACCCCCTTAAATTTTGCACCTTAAACGACCTCAGTCTAGTTCAGGCCCTGCTCTGTGACCTTGAGCAAATCTTTTTTTCCTCTTTTCTTTCTTTCTTTTCTTTCTTTCTTTCTTTCTTTCTTTCCTTCCTTCCTTCTTTTCTTTTCTTTCTTTCTTTCTTTCTCCCTCTCCCTCCCTCATTCTCTCTCTCTGGGT